TATTACCTTTTTCTTTTTTTCTTTTGGCCAATGAGGAATCTGAGTTAGAAAAATGGAGTAATACCCAAGTTCACTCAGCAGATTTGAAACAAAAGATAGATCTGAACCATGCAGTGTAGCTCTACAGTGTGACCAGCTGGCTATGGAATGGTGGTCCCTCGGCTTGGCTGGACCTAGGAAATGGGAGAAGGAAGCTAATCCTCAGCACCGCTCATTCCAGCCGATAGGCACCATGATGCCTGCAAGCTGATGGACGCTCCCATTCTTTCTGGAACATTGGCAAGTGTTTGACAAACAGGTCATTTCCAAGGTCATTTTTCCCCCTCTGCAACCCAGCACTGACTGGCTCCTTTCCAATCCCCAGGCACCTCGTTCATATCTGTCCATTGCCCTCAAAAATAACTGCTAATGGCTCTCCAGTAACTCCAGCCAACTCCTTAAGGGCTCTTGCAAGCAGATCATCTGGGACAGCTAACAGAACTCAGCCAACTTTTCAAAGGTGATCTTTGATCGTGTTTCTCTTGTACATCAATGTTTCTCTCCCTCTTTCTCCTTCCTGTCCCCTCTCTCTAAAAATAAATAAATAAAATCTTTAAAAAATAATAAGTGATCTTTGATGAGCCCTTTTTTTGTCTCCACCTCCCCACATAATCTAAGTTGGCTGGTCTGCTTCACCTCACACATTGCTTTCTAAACCAAGAGCAGAGCAAATCAGTTCTGGACACAGAGTATAAAAGTTGGGAGAGAGGAGGAGGATATTTGAAAGCCAGAAGATTCAGACACTCAGCTTCTCCGACCAGAATTCCTTTCCTGAATCCAGCTCATGACTATTGACTTCACCTGGTTGCCATGGAAACATCAGTCTCTGGTGATGGCAAGCAGTATTTCAGACAGACAGCATCACAGGCTACCATGGAAACACTAAAAAGAGTAAAGCTGCCTCTTCTCTCGAAGGAGTGAGGAAGGAATAGATAAAGCTGCCAGGCAAGGCAGGCTACAAGGGACAGCCTTTGGAACTGGCTCCAACTTGAACAGAGAGGAAATTAATTCCACAGACATGTAATATGTGCAAAGCAAAGCAATAATGAAGAGGACACATCTATCCCTGGCCTCATTCAGCCGTAACTATCAATTCACAGAGTTCACAAAGAACTGTAAATAACGGCATAAGAAGACCTATAACAGGACAAAGAATACTGAAAAGGGAATTCAGTTCCAACTGGGAAAATTTCAGAGTCTTAAAGGGCTAGATTTTGACCATCAGAAGAGGGGCAGGAAGAGAGAACAAAATGAGCAGACGTGGAAGTGGAAAATCTCAGGATTTACTGCGAAGTGTGGGTGTAGACACAGAAAAGCAACCCTTCACCAGGACTTCAAGGCTTTGGCTTCCACAGTGGTGCTAAGAGGCAGTTAAGATTTGGATCAAGGCATCGGAAGCTATACGGCCTGGATTGGAATCCTAAATTTGCTAACTTTGTAATGTGGGTCCAGTTAGTTCATCTCTTTGGGTATCAGTTTCCTCAATTACAAAGTAAAAATAATAAAAGAATCTACCTCAGAGGGTCACTGGCGGGTGAAATGATTCAATACATATAAAGTGATTAACCCCAAACAAATCCTGTATAAATGTTAACAATTACCACTGGGCTGCCTCACTCTTTGGAGCCAGGATCGAATCCTCTAACTGTCCAAGTATGACTTCCTGAACTCCAGTGTCAAGAACACAGCAGTTTAAAGAGAAGGAAGGAGCCCTGGCCGTGTAGCTGAGTTGGTTAGAGCATTGTCCCTGATAAGCCAAGGTTGTGACACTCCCAGTCAGGGCACATACAAGAAGCAACTAACGAATGCATAGAATGTCGAACAACAAATCAGTGTTTTTCTTCTCTCTCTCTTTATCCCTTCTCTCCCTCTAGAATCAATAAATTAAAATAAAATAAAGTAAAAACAATTTAAAGAAAAGGGAGTGAATGCCACAGCCTTCGAGAAGACAGAAGCATAGGCTATAAACCCATAGTCAGGTGAAAGTCTTGTTATGAATTGAGAACTAGTGCAAAAATTCCAGCCGTGCTGGGAAAGGATGCGGGTCACAGCCTCACTTCTGCCAGGACCCTGGCCACTCTAGCGAGGCAGGAGAGGATGAGGAAGATATCTTTCACTGTAGGCTGGGCCCAGAGGCTGTTTCTTGCCCCCTTCTCTCCACTCCAACCACCCCCAATAGAGGGCTGACTAAGCACTGAGTCATACACAGTGACACTGGCTGTCACCCACTAGGCAAAGTCACCTTACATAGGTTAAGATTAGAGAAGCTGTCTTTCTTCACTTTCACCATTGTCTCTGTCCGAGCAGGAGGATGCATGAGGCAAGACCAAGTTAGGCAAGGAAGAACTGAGGCAAAAGGAGCCCAAGTGCAGGAAGCCCAAAGTAGGTAGAAATGGGAACATAAAGAAACCAAGCAGAGATGGGGGCCCATCTGAGGAGGGCAGGGAGCCAAGACCTGTGGCTACATATAGTATGGAGGAGTTCAAGACCGCCATGAGGAGGCCTGGTCCATAGCCTCCATAGCCTGGGATGACTAACAAAAATGGTCTAACTGTGCTTCTCAGGATGCATTAGCAGTCGGATCAATACATACAGGGGGACTGGGCCACAGCCAGCTGCTTCTACCTAAAAATAATGCATCCTCCTTCCCTTCCCCAAGGTCCAGAGAACAAACTAGGATAGGGAAAGGGTGGGAGTAGCAGCAAAAGAAACAGCAGAAGCAAGACTGCAGCAGCCTTGAAGAATCAAGAGTTAGTCCTCGGTCCTAGTGGTCTTTTAAGTCACAAACAGGCTTTGCGTACTTAAATACTTCAGTGTTAAAAGCAACTCCAGAAGTTAACATCACCAAAAAACATCACTGCTTTAGAAGTCTGAGAGCTGACAAATTAAAACCTAACAGCAATTATCCATATTTTTAGCAAGACAATAAAGTCTTAATATTCTGTTGCCATAGAGACCAGTAAAGAATGAAGGAGCCCTACAGAGCCCTGCCCCTGACCTCCACCTCTTGGCTGGTTCTTAGCTGGTGAGCCAGGCTCTGAGGTCCCCTGTTACAAGCCTTACAAAGCAGGCAGGGAGGAAGCTGTGCCTCTCCTCTGGTAGGGCCTCCCTGGACTACTCAGCTCCCTGGAATTCACTGGTCCCAGGCAGACCTACATATGGAAAGCAAGAGTTGAGATGACTGGGAGAAGACTTTAAGGCCAGAAGAGTCCCGATGTATGATGCCAAATCCATTTGGATATTGGACTGTGATTTCTGTTACAAACAGGGCTACAGGCGGTATGGAGGCCAATGGTAAGAATCGTGAGCTTGGGAGGCTTCTCTGGCATCTAAGCTCCTCAAGATCATAAAACACCCCTAAAGGAAGGTGCAGAATGTGCTATTGTCACACTGCCACCTGGTGGAAAGACAAGATCTGTCCTTAGGCACAGAGACAAAGCTTGGAAGTCCGTTGGGTAAGCAGGTAGGTCTGCAGAGTCAAGACGACAGATGGAAGAGACCTGGGGGCGCAGAGTGTAATGCAGATATACAGGCGTACGCATGCCTTTTGTCCTCCTTCCTACAGAAGGTTACAGGCTGATGGCTCCTTCTGTTTGACAAGATAGCCACAACCCTGAGACACAATGGTGAAGGTCAGAGTGAAGCGATTTGGCCATACTGGGCACCTGGTTACCAGGGCTGCTCTTTAACTCTGGCAAAGTGGATACTGTCACCATCAATGACCCCTTCATTGACCTCAGCTACAGTCTACATGTATTTCAGTATGAATCTACTCATGGAAAGTTCAAAGGCACAGTCAAGGCTGAGAATGGTACATCATCAGTGGAAAGTCTGCATCTTCCAGGAGCGAGATCCCACCATCAGATGGTATGATGCCACTGATGAATATGTTGTGGAGTCCACTGGTGTCTTCACTACCTTGGAGAAAGATGCAGCCAAGAGGGTCACCATCTCTGGCCCTTTGGCAGGTGCCCCCACGTTTGTGATGGGTATGAACTGTGGCAAGTATGAAAACTCCCTCAAAACTGTCATCGATTCTTCCCATGCCAACTGCATGGCCCCCCTTAGCCAATGTCATCCATGACAATTTTGGCATCGTAGAGAAACTCATAACCACAGTCCATTCCATCGTCACCCAGAAGACCACAAATGGCACCTTTGGGAAGCTGCATCGTGATGACTGAGGGGCAGCCCAGAACATCATCCTTGATTCTACTGGTGCCATCAAGGCTGTGGGCAAGGTCACCCCAAGCTGAATGGGAAGCCCATTGGCATAGCTGTGTCCCCACTCTCCATGTGTTTGTTCTAGATCTGACTTGCCACCTGGAGGAAGCTACCAAGTATGATGACATCAAGAAGGTAGTGAAACAGTCATCAAAGGGCCCCTCAAGGGCATTCTGAGCTATACTGAAGACCAAGTTGTCTCCTGTGACTTTAACACTGACACCCACTCCTCCACCTTTGGTGCTGGGCCTGACATTGCCCTCAGTGAACACTATGTCAAGTTCATTTCCTGGTGTGACAATAAATTTGGCTACCTCCAAAGAGTAAGGGCCCCCTGGACCACCAGTCCCAGCACAAGGAAGAGATGCGCTCAGCTGCTGGGGAGTCCTCGCCCCAAACCCATCTTCCAACACACTAAGACTCTCCTGACCTCATGTCCAGCCCAGACCTGCTGAAGGGGAGGGGCTTAGAGAGCCCTACCTTGTCATGCATCATCATTAAAATAAAGAAAACACAAAGCCATCACAGATATTTTATATCCCTAGAACCATTCATGGTTTTGGCTCATTAGAAGTTAACATCAGGGCCCTGGCTGGTATAGCTCAGTGGATTGAGCGCGGGCCTGCGAACCAGACAATCGTGGTTCGATTCCCAGTCAGGGCACATGCCTGGGTTGCAGACCAGTTCCCAGTAGGGGATGCACGAAAGGCAACCATACATTGATGTTTCTCTCCCTCTCTCCTTCCCTTTCCCTCTATAGATAAATAAATAAAATCTTTAAAAAAAAAAAAGAAGTTAACATCAGACACACTGACAGACCACACACATAGCCACCACAACAATGAGGCTTGCCTTTTGTCCAAAGTTTATACATATATATGTATGTATATTTATGTACACAGACACAAGGGTATAAAATTCAGTAAGAAGGGCTCACGTGTGCCCAAGTACAGGACAAGAACAGCTTTAACAGCTGGGTGGAGCCCACAGTAGAGGCACATGGGAAGTGGTGGGAATAGCAGCCTCCCCACCATCCTCCTGCCCTGGACCAAGAAAGGACCTGGAGGAAGGACAACTAACTATACAAAGGAAGACAGAAGATACTCGAAAAGTACCCCATCTTTCCCTAGACTCTGGAATGCCCCTAAGACATCCAAAATGCCTGGCAGGGTGGATAATTTCTACAGCTTCCAGCAAGATGCTGGGCGCACAGTAGTTCTGGTCCCAAGCTGAGGTCTAAGGCAGGCTTCACAATGCACATACGTGTCCAAGCTCTGTTCCACGGACCTTGCAGCTGCAAGACAGCACCTTCAAGACAGCACCCCCTTGCCCCCAAACTCCAAAGTCCTCTTGGAACAGAGGGCTTAAGGATTTTCCCTTGGCAAAATTGTAGAGTAAAGGTACAGGGGGAAGAAAAAAGAAATCAGTTCCTTCAGTTAATGCCCATGGCCTTCCCAATACAGGAACCGAGGAATCAGAGAGGGCTGAAAGGGGCAATGATGATCATCTCAGGAGACCACGCACATGGAGAAACAGTGCTCGGTAATTGTTCTCTTTGACTAGTGGTTGCTCAGCAGAGTCCATTCCCAGTGGGGCCACAGGCAGGAGCACTTCTTGGTGTCTAAGGGTGCCCCAATTTCCACAGAGTAAATGTCCATGGCCTCAGGATGGCTTTGGTCCACAAAACGAAGAGAAGGGGCCGTAGAAGGGTAGTCATGAGGAAGGGAGTGGCAGGACCCAGCGGCACAGGGAGGCAGTGTACAGTGTCACTGATTTACCTGGGGCAAGGAGAAGAAATAAATGGAAGCCAAAGGAAGAAAATCCCAGTGACTAAAACAAACAAGGTCCTCTGACTCACATGGTTTGGGAGGTAAAAATGCTGGAAAGCTGGAAGCACTGGGAGGTGATTGCTTGAGAGGCAAGGTTCAGGGCTGGACTCAGAGCTGGAACATAGAGAGGCAAAGTGAGTTAGCACAGAGCATTCCTTCTTGCCAAGCCCCAACATTTCTCTCCCTTCCCCAAGTCCAAGTCTACCAGTCAGGGTTGCTGGGTTTAAGGTCCCCAAGGGAACTGCTCCATTCAGCTGCAAGGCAGCAGCCTGGGCAGTGGTAGTGGTGGTGGCGGCGGCAGCAGCAGCTGTGGTTGGCAGCTGGATTGCAGAGCCTGAAAGGGAAAGAAAAAGTGCACATCAGTCCCAACCCTTGGTCTACAATTCAACCCCATGCTGTTCACTGTGGAGAAACTCTACCTTCTGCCAATATGGCCATGAGCTGCAAACGTCCACCTGCTGATCCCAGATCCAGCTCCTGGTCTCCATCAGGAAAAGTGATGTCTGTGCTACCATCCAGTTGCTCAGTCACATGGCCAACCCTCATAGGTCAACCAGCAAGCTCAAAGCCATTCAATTGCTCCAGGGCCCGCCGGACACACTCAGAGTCAGAGAACTGTAAGAAACCCAGGCCAGATCAGTCACCTCTTGGTCACAAACTTGCCCTCAAAGCCCCGCTAACACTCCCTAGTCCTCCTATCCCAGGAAACTGCATGCTTGCTGCAGCACAAGTTTCTTTATCAGGGAATGTGACCTCAGATCCCCCCCTAAAATTGTTCTCTGAAAGGGTCCTTTTCTAACTGACTCAATGACAAACACTTTTCAATATTCCAGCTCCACTAAAAACCTAACAGTGTAAAAAGTCTATTATCTATAGGGAGCCTAGCCTGACAGGCTGTTTCACAAATGGACATATAAAACACAAGTAAGATAGACTGAGAACTAGGTCTCCTGGGCTTTACTTCAGCCCTTAGCCCTAGAAGTTTCCGTTCTCAGAACACGGAATCTGGACCTCCAGAGCCCAGCCTTAGGAGGGAACACATTCTGGTATTGAAAGGAAGACTGCACATCCTACCCCCCCTCACTGCCGGACTGACGACTAAGTGACCTCCTGGGCCTCTACTGTCTTGTCCCTTTCATCAGCAACATCAGCAGCAGCCTGGCATAAAGAGGATTCCCAGTCTGCTGTTTAAGTGTCAGTGGTGTTGACATAGAGGCAAAAAGGCCCATAGAAGCCTTTCTGAGTCCGAGTCACACAGGGAGCTAGAAAAGGTAATCGCCACCAGGAACACCACAGCTGGCTTTGTTTACTCTAGTGTCACCTGCCCTAGGGCCTGGCACGTGGTACTGACAGTTCCCAGGCAGGCGGTGTAGGTGGCCTGCCTTTACTAGATACTTTTGAGGTGAGCAATCGCCATAGTAGAACACAACCTACCTCCCCTCTGCCCTGCAGGTAACTGTGGGGGTGTATGCTGCCTGGATTGAGCCCAGAAAATATCAGCTTCTATTGGACTTTGTGGCTGGCAGCCAGTCCTCAGCCTGGAGTCACATGGGGTTAGAAGAACCAGTTACAGGAATTGGAAACAATTTTGTTGGAGTGTCAGCAAGAGATGAGACTTGTTCACTATTACGTGGCCTCACTATTCTCCCTATAGTGGGATTTAAATACAAAAATACTTCTCCAGGAAAACCTGATTCGAACAGGGTAACACCAGAAGAAAATATGTAACTTCTTATTCCCACCCCACCATGACAATAACACCAATTCCATAAAGCATGTCTATAAAAGCCCACACCTAACTCCTCCCTCACACCTCCAACCTTTTAGCTGCAGCCTGGAATCATTACTATTACCCAAAGAGCAAGGAGCAGCATCAGGGAAGGTGGCTGAATCCTGGACATCCCCGTACCAGGGCCACTGACAGAGTGTAGGAACAAAGCCAAGATCTCAAGCAATGCACTCATCTCAAGGGGCAGAAGCTAGTCCAATCTCCGGGCGCCAGGGTTTATGGGTCATTATGACAGTTCCTAAAGGAGGAGGATGAAGCCAAGCTGCAAAATCAGGCAGGTGCACAAACTCAAATTAAAATAAACAAGTTAAACAGTAGAGACTTACTGTAATGAAACCATAACCTTTAGAGCGGCCTGTATCTGAGTCCTTCATCAGGACAATATTATCAATCTGTAGAAGAGGGAGAAATTATTAATAATCTCTTGGGTAACCCACGCCTTTGACCTTTCCTACCCAGACTTCTAAATACCTCCAACTTTCTAACCACCAATTACATGTCTCCAAGTCTTTTTAAAAAGAGACAAAGGCCATTTTTTCCAAAACACCTTTTCTGACTAATCTCACTTAATGTGGACCCTTTCACTTGATTTCACGGTGCTGACTCTTTTGCCTACTGAACAGTCTGAACAGAGGTGGAGCCTAACTTTCCCAGCATGGACCCATATGCCCATTACTCTGCATGCGATGGGTTAATCACAGTCAGACAGAATGAAGAGGAACACTCACCCTCCCCACTTTTTCCAATTCCATTCAGAGCCTTCCCTCGTTTTCTACTTACTTTGCCAAAGGGCTCAAAGATGCCCCGGAGCATGTCTTCAGTAATATTGAAGTGCAGGGAGCCCACAAAGAGGCGCATTGGTCCACCACTGCCCTTCTGCAAGTTGTTGGCCATGGCTGCCAGTCGGTTTTTCTCAGCCTGAGGAAGGACGAAATGCTGGCTCAGGGACCAACCTACCTGCAACCCGTCTTCTCCTGTCAGTTTCTCAGCCTGCTCACCTGTGAGGCCTGTACAACGACAGGCACCCCCAGCAGCCACTGCCCAGTCAACCCGATGGCCAGCGGCACAGACTGGATTTCACAGAATTCCACATAGGCAATGCCCTTAGAACGACGTGAGTTCTGATCTGAGATGATACGTACATCATGAACCTATCCAGGGGAAAAAGAAAATCCTAAATTGGGCACAAAGGGGGATGGACAGAAGATAAGACTACTCAGAAGAAAATTAAGAGACAAAGGTTACTTTGCCAACAGCAGAGAAAAAGTCCTCCAGGTCTCAAGGCCAAATGCGGGCAGCTAACTGCATACAGAAAACTGTTCGGGCATCACGCTCCTCGGGACTCAGATTATCAACTGGCTCCCTAAAGAATGAATACAATTTTTTGAGACGTCACGCCACCCCAATACTTGGGTGTTCTTCTCCAGATACCCTCAAGTACTATACATTCCTTAAGTTTTACTCAAAGGGCTTTTTATTCATACTACATAACCCCTAACAATGTGCTCCTTATCAACTCACCTGCCTGGGCTCTTCTCTCTGAAACGAGGACTCTTACTTTGTCCATACCTACGCCTAAGGAACAGAGAACAACAAAAGTGAAAACTGTGTCACCCAGCTTTATTCACACTGGTCCAATGGTGGGTCTCCCATCATGAGAAAGCCAGATCCCACCACCTCATCTCACATGTGAATTCTTAATAGCACCCCTGCAATAACTGGACCTCCTTACTGTCACAGTGGGCAGAGGCAACCCTAGCGTATTTTACCCAGATTACCATATGAAGGTAAACTTATAGAAAAGGTGATACCCAGTAGCAAGTGGTGGGCTCCTGTAATGCACACGGTCTTCATGATGCCAGTCCCGACTTTGAGACTCACTACTATGACGACAGTCCCGGCTATGGCTGCTGTGACAACGCTGCCGATCTCGACTTTGGCTCCGACTATTTCTCCGTCTATACCGGTCTCGACTACGACTACGGATGGACAGAACTATTTACTTTGGTAAAGAACCAACCAATCTCTTCTGGTCTTCAATGTATCGCTTTCCCTAGTATCTTTCCATTTATAATAATTCTCAAAACCCAACAGTCCCCAAAATGACTAACCTGCGCTTTCTATCCCTGCTTTTACTATGGCTCCGACTCCTCTTCTTCCTGTGAGAGAGATTATAAATTTTTATTATTGTGAAGGTTTCATTATCTCTCCCAAGTAAAAAGAATGACACTATGGCCAGGGTGAAACACAAAGCAGTGAAAAGGACCAAAGCCCAGATGATCTGGCAGTACTTCATAGCAACGGCAAAAATCAGCTTACACACAGCCCTGCATGCTGTCAGGCATCAGAAGCAGCTAAAGCTGATATTTTCAACATAGGGGTCTTTTTGCTATCCTACTCAAAGAAAATGTATCAATGCTAGGACTAATGCTCATAACTACCCTGAAAAGCTTAAAGTACATCATTAAACCAAGTCACCATAATTCCCAAGACCTGTGAAAACATTACTAAAAGTCAGCAGTCTTAGAAGCAACTACCTCCCTGTTCTGGCCATTTTCTAGGAGACATGGTTGTTTTCCTTCCTAAGCTGCCAACCCATTTCCTCATGCCACACTCACCTGCTTGCCTCCCCCGTGGTACTGCTCCCACTGACACTGTTGCTGCTGCCGGTGTTACTAGGATCATCCTTTTTTACCTCCTTCCTTTGCTGCTCATCCTGAGGGATGCACCAGGAAAATGTCACAAAGTTTAAGGTGGCAGACACACAGATTCCATTGGACACAGAAAGAACAAAAGTGAACAAGGAAAAAAGCATATGAAATCAAAGCTCTCAATTATCTGGCCAACTTCTAAGCCCCTCGATCTCCTAACAAAGGAAGTAAGGGAGGAAGAAAGAAAACTACATAAAAGGAAGAGATCAGAGTGACAAATTTTGACATCAAAACTTTAGCTATTCAACACCTATTTCTCAGGAGAGTAAGAAATCAGTTAGGTCTGAGGTGCACTGACTTTCTACTGTATCACTGAAAGCTATGAGCAAAGCACTCATTCCCACCACATTATGTGCCCCCTCCTATTTTGGGGGCTCACTCTGACAGCATGGCTCTTGAGTGTGGGGCTCCAGCAGAGCTTACTAAAAGACTATGCCTTTTATGAATAGCCACTGGACACAACAAACAAGTGGGGAGAGAAAATTCACAAAACGTTGAGACTAATGATCCACAACTGCTTTTTCTTACTAACCCAATTCCAGGAGTGAGGTGGGAATATTACCTCCTCTTTTTTATAGGGAGCTTCCAGCATGGCCTCAATCACTATATCAAAGTCATCGGATGCCACCGTAGCAGATCTGAGGAGAGGATATCAATACATAAGAACCTCATTTATATTTTTTTCTCCCCTTCCAGCACACTACATTCCTCCCTCCCTTCAAGTAACAGACTTCAGAGTATAGTTCTGCTTCATAAATTTCAAAAGAGTCTTACCACCTGTTGCTTAACCTAGTTTTGCACCTTACTGACCAGAACTATTTTTGCTTGGTGGCTTAGAACACATCAAGGGTCTAGAAGGAAACTAGACAGACACAAAATTTTAATACAGACCCTGTCCTATCATGTGAAGAGAAAATGTTGGTACTCTTAAGTAAAATCACCATTCATTTTACAATGAACACTAGGCCACCATTCTATTGTTCAAAATTCTGAATAACTGGTTTAAACTTAAATTGCAAAGTGCACGTTTCCAATAAAAAAGTAAAAATGCGCCCTGGCTGGTGTGGCTCAGCGGATTGAGCGCAGGCCTGCGAACCATGCGATTGCGGTTTGGTTCCCGGTCAGGGCACATGCCTGGGTTGCAGGCCAGTTCCCAGTGGGGGACACATGAGAGGCAGCCACACACTGATGTTTCTCTCTCTCTCTTTCTCCTTTCCTTCCCCTCTCTCTGAAAATAAATAAATAAAATATTTTTTAAAAAAAGTAAAAATGCAACACTAAAAATAAGGATCAAGACAAACAACACCAGAATAATGCAGAACTGCCCTAAGCTTTCCCACCATATCCCTCCCAACATTAATAATTAAGGGATTCATCATTAAGCATTTTCCATACAATAACAACTAGAGTTTAGATAACTCAAAAAGATTAAGACAGGCTTAACCAATCCCACTTTGAAGCCTTTCTGTCTAGACAGGCAGGGTGAGACTTCTTGCCTCCCCCAAGCTGTCACATCTGGCAATCGTCTTCCCCAATGTGTCTACCACAGTCCTGTTAAATAAGAAAAACAGAAGATACCAAACAAAATCAATAGGACAAATTACTCAAAAGTTACTAGCTTGAAATTATCAATACACATAACATGGATGAATCTCAAAATAATTATGCTGAAAGAAATGAGACAAAAAAGAAAAATATGCATTATATACCATTTTTTAAGATTGTATTTATTTATCCTTACAGAAATAGGAAGGGAGGGAGAAATAAAGAGAGAAACATCAATGTGAGAAACATCAATTGGCTGCCTCTTGCACATGCCCAAACCAGGGAATGGACAGCAAACCAGGCATGTGCCCTGACCAGGAATCAAGCCAGCAATCCTCCTTGTGAGATAATGTCCAACCAACTGAACACCACCAGCCAGGGCTGCATGAGTATACTTATAAAAAATTCTAGAAAATGCAAATTAACCCATAGTGACAGAAAGCAGATTAGTAGTTGCTGAGGGACAAGAGTAGGTAAGGAAGGGCTAGGAGGAAAGAAGTACGAAAGTACACAGGAAACTTTGGAGGTGATGTTTCATGGGTGCAACATATCAAAAATCATCAAACTGTACTTTAAATGTGCACAATTTTATATCAATTATACCTCAATAAAGCCAAGCCCCCCCCACCCAATCTTAAGATTTTTTAAAAAGACTTTATTTATTTATTTTTAGAGAAAGGGAAGGGAGGGAGAAGGGAGGGAGAGAAACGTCAATGTGTGGGTTGCCTCTCACATGGCCCGCACCCCAGGTATGTGCCGTGACTAGGAAATAAACCAGCAACCCTTTGGTTTGCAGCCCACATTCAGTCCACTGAGCTACACCAGCCAGGGCAAATCTTAAGAATTTCTATGTTAAGAGGTTAATCATAATCATACTTTCCATATCTATAAGAGCTTTGTCTTCTTTAAAGCAGCTAATACATCCTCTAGTGATGCTGTCCATGTTGCCCTCAGAACCCATGACTTTATTAAACCTGATGATTTAATAAATAAGTAACATAAAAGTTAATAAAAGGAACATGAAAATAAGTAACAAAAAAGTGATATAAAAATAAGAGTAATCATTACACTTATCAACTTTAAATAAAACTAAAAAAAATTACACAGTATATTAAGATGTCTATTTTAAAATATACTATTCTGGAGAATTAATGTTCTGATAGGTGAATCAAAAGAATCAGTCCCATCAGCCACACCTTATTGTGTATGTTTCAAAATACTAAGAAACAGGCTAATTGTAAAATATACTATTTGGCCTATTGTGGAAAAAGTTTTAAAAAGGAAAAGTTTTTGATCCTCAAACCGTTCCTTTCAGTTATTTTGGCTGCTAAGTCTATACCAATTTTCTAAGTGTCATAAAATTCCTCCTATCTTTTACAATCTGCTTTTTCCTCCCTAAATGAAACGCTTCTGATTTCAAGAACTGCTGAGTGTTAGTACAGGGTTGGGGTAACAACACAAACACACACACACATTTCACTTAAGTTGACACATGAAACCCCCCCCCCCCCCCCGGCAATTACAAGTTTTCACTCAGACTCAGAAATAAATGAACTGATTTAGGTATAACCATATACAACATGAGCACATTTTAACTTGCAATCTCACTGGGTTTAGTATAGGTTTCTGGTGTCCTAAAAGCATTTAAGTCCCAAACACTATGCATTTTTAGGTTAGTTTTTAAACTCTCTCCCTGTTTTAATTTATGAGTCAAAGGCCATTCAATCCTATCCATTAAATCGCTACAGATCTTACTTCCATCCCTGCTCCAAAACTACGTTAGGGACCCACAATCATGGTAATGCCTGGAACCTATCATAAAAGTACAGTCAAGACCCAAGCCAGCGCTGAGGCCCACTGCTGCGGGGGCAAAGGAGAGTGAAGAACCACTGTCAGTTCAGTTCAGTTCAGGCAGAATTCACCGAATGCTGGTGATGGTAGCGCCATCTCCTGGGTCCGGTCACTGAGCTGACACAAACTTCTTCAAACTGAAGGCAGCTTAATTAAGAACAAGAACAATGAGAAAAAATAAAAACATTTCCCATGATATGTAACAAGCCAAGGCTACGCTTTAAAAATGGACCTATAAGCACCATCTTTGCGAGGGCCACTGTCCCAATGCTAAAAACCTCACATGTACTCTTTCTCCACGGAAAGTGTGGTCAACAAAGAAAGAGGGAAAAGCCCACAGAGGCCAATATACTGAAATAAGTCTTCCAGAAACTTCAGAGTGAGGAAAAAATCTCGTCTCCCTCGTCTCTCTGAGTGGTGACACTAGAGGCTGAAAACTGACTCTAGGTGTTCTCTCCTCCGTGAGTCGATGCTCCCTCATCAGTAAGGGAGACCCTAAACGTCAGGGATGCAGGGATCTGGAAAGAGATCCGTGAGTCACTGGGATTCTTTGATACAGCGTCTTCATCGGTAAAGGATATAGCCACGAGCGTGCCGAGCCCTAAAATGCTGACAGTGTACTACATTTAAATAGCAAACACTTCCAAATCCAAAAACTTTTTGTTTTTTAATTTTAAAAGTTTGCCTGATTCTGCTCTCGAGGCCATTTTCTGCCTGTGACGTCAAGGGCAGGCGCCGTACGGCTACGTCACGCACAGGTGACGTCGTGGAGGAACCGAGTTTCAAGGTTTCTCACCGGTTCCGGGTCCCCCAGGGGGGACCCCGGTCTTCTCCGTTCCTTTGGGTTTGTTGGGGAGTGCTAAACACTGCTATCTTCCAAAGTGTCAGCAGTAAAAGCAGCACTGCAACCTGATTGCTCCTCTTCCCGCAAAATGGCGGTACCTCCGCCGTCTTCCAGAGTTTTTCCCAATGTGCGCAGGCGCTGAAACATTAAAGCGGTGGACCCAACCTCCCTGGTTTCGCGGCAGCAGTCCAAAATGCAGATTTTCATTGGCTAAAATTCTAACCATAGGTGGACGCAAACTCAAACATTTCTTAGCAACCATCAAGTTCCGACTGATTGGCTACTCTCCTAGACTTCCGGAAAGTGGCAGAGGTCTTAAGCAGCCGCCCATCGCACTCATTGGTTGTGACTTGAGGAAGGCAGGGGAGTTGGGCGGGAAAACAATCAGGAAGGACCCTCCTACCTAGCTCGTGTGCCCCAGCTAATCCACCTATGTGGCCAAGGACCACGAGGAGGTATAGTAGACGTTCTTGGCTGCCCCTATAGATTTGCCAAGGGGGTCACGCCGCTCCCGGGAGGGATTTGTGGAGCGCAACTGCCTTGGTTCTATGTGAAACGGGGCTAGACCCTACGTCCCCGTTCTGAGCCATCTGTCCACACTACCCTCCCAAATGCTTCCTTCTGCCCTCAGTGCTTGGGACCTGGGAAACATAAGTTTTATCACAAATTTGCCTTGTCCTGCAGCTCATAGTTTGGGTTCAAATCAGTACCCCACACACCTCATCCTGCCAGAATAAACTTGAGACACCAGAGGTGACCCCTTCCATGCTGCAGTACTCAACCTTCTAACCAGAAAGGGATAGAATTTATATTCACCCTCTAATCCCAAGACTTCCAAAACATTAGCTGGTTCTACCACAGAAAGAGCCAGAGTCAGAGGACCTGTTCTAGTCTGGATTTGAATACTTTGGATTTGTATTATTGTACCAATTTCAAATACCTCCTCTATAACATGAAGAATTGGACTAGATGACCTCTTAGGACTCTAACACTATGATTTTTTTTTAAAGAGTTTATTCATTTATCTTTAGATGAAATGGGAAGGAGAGAGGGAGAGAAATATCAATGTATGGTTGCCTCTCATGTATCCCCTGTTGGGAACTGGCTTGCAACCCAGGCATATGCCCTGACTGGGAATCAAACTGCAATACTCTGGTTCACAGGCCCACACTCAATTCACTGAGCTGCACCAGCCAGAGCCTCCTAACACTATGATTTTATTCAAATGAAATAGGTGGCTTCTTGGTGGAGTTGCATGGATGGCTTTGTTTCTCTCACTAGAGGTAAAAGAGGTGCTGGCAGTTTGGCAGCTCTGGAACATGGAAGGAAAGTTAGCTTTATCTACCCCATCTTTTTTCCATGGTGGCAAATTATGCCTCCTTCCCAGATGAAAGCCTAATCTCGGGTCTTAGTGGACAAAACCTGTCTGTAGCTAGTCAGAAAGGCCTATACACAGGAGTCCAAGAATCACCACTAAGCTCCCCAAAGTACCTTTGGGTCTTGGATAAGGGCACAGATCTGAACATGCCTAAGTTTAAGAAAGGCGTGGGAAAGCACAGGCAGAGGGAACAGGAAAGGCCATAACTTCACTTTATTTGTATTTCTTCCCGCACAAATCCATCGAAATAGGAAGAAATGGGCAGGAAAAGGGCTGAAAATGTGTGCAATCTGCATGTTCTCAGGGCTATTCCAAGGGAGCGCTTGAGGCTGAGTGCCTGTTGGAGTAGCTTTGCAGCCAGCACTAATTCCTCATGCCTTGGCCTGAAGTCTTCACAGACTGGTGGCTTGAGCCTGTAATTAATTCTCCTTTGCCAACTTTGATGTAAGGCAGGAAGGCAGACTGAAATGCTCCTCTCTGATGTGCAGGGGAAATCACAGACCACAGCTGTACTGCACCTTTTGTGCTACAGGAGCAGAGCCTGAAGCTGCTGCCAGATATTTGCAGGCGGGGCTAGAGGCCAATGGTGTATGAGCGGCCCGTGGGATTGTGAATAGCAGAGCAGACTGGTGCTGTCACAGCCCACTCATACCACACCTTCTTGGAATTGCTGCATCGCCAGAAGCGCACACAGATGGTCTGGCCTTCACGCACTGTAATGGGCTGCTGTAAGAAAAAAGACAGAGTTTTAGGGTGGGGCTAATAAATTATATGTTGCAATGTACTGAGTTAAGGGTGGAGATAAAATGATAAAATATGACATCTCAACCCTCATGAAGCTTATTTGAAGTCTATCAGAACTTAAAATTTTGTCAGGCATTAAACAAATCATCTAAAATGTGACCAGTGCTGTGACATGCACAGGGTGCTCTGAAAGCACCCATGGAAGGGAATGCTAACTTAGTCTAGATGGTCAGAGAGTTCTCTGACAATATGCATGTTTTTATGGAGACCTGGAAGATAAGCTGGCTGGATGAAGAGGTATGCAAAAAATTTTACAGGCAAAGGAGAAAGGTATGAAAGCCTGAGACCAGAAAAAAGATGAGTATTAGAGGAACCAAGCACCAATCCATTGGACTGCAGCAATGTAATCAAGGAGACAGTAGCTGAAAAGGCAGGCTAAAACCAAATCACGCCAAGTCTTACAAACAGTGTTCAGGATTTTGACTGCTATCCAAAAGATAGTGGAAAGGATGTTAAGCAGGAGAAAGACAGAATAAGATTTGAGATTTAAAGATTTTATTTATTTATCTATCTATCTATCTATCTATCTATCTATCTATTTATTTAGAGGGAGAGAGGGAAAGAAACATCAATGTCCAAGAGAAACATCAATCAGTTGCCTCTCACACGCCCCAAACTGGGAATTGAACTGGCAACCTTTTGGTTTGCAGGCCGCTGCTGCTCAATCCACTGAACCACACCACCGGGGCGTATGTGAGTTTTTACAAGATGACTTTTACTCAGGGTAGAAAACAGACAGAAGAGCAGCTAGAGGAGACGTGGGGAAGCCAGGCAGAAGGCCACTGTGGATATGCCAATATCTACAACTGGGAACCAAGCCTGAGAGCAGCAGGACATGGGTCATAACCAAGCATCATCCATAACCGAACAGCCAAAGTTATAGTCCTTAACCCAGGGAGTTTTAAAGGCAATTCCTACCTTTATGGGGAAGAAGATGGGAAACCATGAGAACATCCCAGGAGAGTGAGTCTCTGGACGGATACCTATGTGGACAATAAAAAAATTGAGGTCTCCATGTCTGTGCTTTTTGACTAGGTTGAGGAATCTTTTGGATTACTTTAAAACAAGTAATCAAAGATCCCCATTCACTGACCCCTGGACTCCCTGTGACTCTAAATGAAACATTTACATAAACTGTACGTGCTCATACCCCACCATCCACTGCCCCAGGCACTCACTCAGAGTGATGTCCTGATACAGCACAGTCTCAAAGTAGCCTGCAAAGCCATGCAGTACTGTGTTCACTTCCACGGGAAATTCCAAGGTACAGTAGCGGTTGTTATCAATCATAGGATCTGTCATGGAAAAGTTGTGTGGGTGACAAAGGGCCAAAAGTCCTAGACAATTTGGTAAAACAAAGGAAGCCTAAATAGGGCAGACCCAGGAGAACAAGAGAACAACCAGGAGGGCAAGCTCCTACCCACTGAGTCAGAGGACAGATACGCAGGAACCCACCTCTGTTGGGATGGCTGAAGGTAAAACAGGGCTGGGGTGCAGACAGCTGGTGGAAGTTGTGTAGCCGTACCACATAAGGCATCTCAAACTGGGCCTAACCCAAGAGACAAGAGAGCAAGAAAGCTGGAGAAGATAGGCAAGAGATACCTAGTGCTTTAAGGAAAGTAGCTCAAGCTTCAGGGGCACAGAAAAAAATGAAAACAAACTTTCACTTGGGCCACTTTCCCATATTCCCAACTCCTCCTCGACCTCTCCATCTTCTGCAATGGAATAAAATAATTGGTGCTAGCCCTGGCTGGTGTAGCTCAGTGGATTGAGTGTGGGCTGCCAACCAAAGGGCTGCCGGTTCAAGTCCCAGTCAGGGCACATGCCTGGGTTGCAGGCCAGGTCCCCAATGAGGGCCACGTGCGAGGCAATCACACACTGATGTCTCTCTCCCTCTCTTTCTCCCTCCCTTCCCCTCTCTCTAAAAATAAATAAAATATTTTTAAAAATTGGTGCTAATACAGAGAAAGAAAGGACTAAAGAGAGAAGTCCTCCAGAAGAAGGGGGCTCTTTACCTCAGGGTCACGGTCCTTTTCCCGACAGGCTCGGACCTCATTGTACAGCTTGGAGGAAGAGATAGGAGCCAGAAAGGAGGTATACTCCCCAGGGATGCTTACGCCACCATCTGAGTGGAGGAGGGCACCATTAATTCCCAAGGCATGGAAATGATTTATCTGTACTGAGTGGTCAAACCTCACACATCCAAAGAGACCCAAGCAGCTCTATATCGCATTCCTCCTCCCAACTCCTGTCATGGAAGACTCCACTTCCAGGTTACTTTATAATTATAGGATTAAAACTAGAAGGAATCTAAGATATTCTAACGAAGTATTTAACTTATGTGAAGTCACAAAGCTCTTTGAGATCTAAATGAAAGCTAAGCACAAAGTACGTATCACAGCAGCAGCTCAGGGAGTCCACACACCTCAGATTGAGTCTCTGCTTATTTTATAGGTGAACACAGAAGTTCAGAGAGATTTCCTCAGGGCCATGACCCAAGTCCAACCCTCCTCCCCCTAAAGCTTCCTAGGCCACTGTCTACCCAATCCCTCAACCCTACCACCCCTACTGCCTCCCCAGCTGATAATCCAATCCCCCTACTCAGCACACCCCAGCCTGGAGGCACCTTTTAGGAAGTGCTGGGCTCCATCCAGGCACTCAGGTGACAGTTCATTATCAGCAAAGGAGCCCAGAAGTTCACTGACAATGATGTCTGCCTTCTCTGGAGCCACCCATTCCCGCATGTCTGATGAGACTACTGTCACCTGACTTCCCCATTCTTCAAACTGCCAGTTCTCCAGCCTAAAACAGAGATGATACAAGGGAGGACATTAATAAGAAAAACTGACACTGGGGACCAACTTCCCAGCAAGAGGACCCCTACTCACGTCACCACAGCATTAGGGTTCTTCTCCACAGCATACAGCTTTATCCGCCGGTCAGCCTGCTTGGCTGCCCGCAGGGAAGCGTTCACCAGGGGACCTCGGCCTGCTCCCAGCACCATTAGCACCCTAAGGAAGAAATGAGTAGAGCTAAGCTGATTCAGCATATAAATAGGCATACAAATCTCTGGGATTGTGGGAAGGGTACTCA